GGGTATTTCTAATTGGTTACTCACATATTTTTTCACAGAAAACACATAGCCTCTCAAGGAAATAGTAGATCTAGACGGTTTTGTTTTCTTAATTTAAGAAATATCTTGTTGGCCTCCCTGGTGGCACAGGGGTTAAAAGTCTCAGTGCAATCAAGCTATTGTCAACCACTGCATCATGAGTTCAATCCCCGACCAGGGAGCTAACCCACATATGGCACAGCAGACCTCTCCTGTCTTGCCCCCTGCTCCCCGCACCAGTGTATTTCAGTAGATCTGCCTATTCTGCTCCCCACTCTGTCTCTCATGAATCCTCTCACAACCACTCACCCCCCCACATACCTCTGGCTACACCCCAGCTCTTGTATGTATAAATAAATCTTAAACATATATATATATATATATATCGTCAAAAAATAATTTTAGTTCATTGTATACGTAGCATTTCACTACAGTTGAAGTTATTTCTTATCACAATTCCATTAAACATTATAATTCGAAAGGCAGACGTTTTGGTGACTACATATCTATAGTATTTCATATGACCGTTCAGAAGTAATGCACTAATCATGCACCAAAGGCTTGTGCTCAGTGAATTCCTCCAAGAGCTGCTATTCAGCACACTAAATGCACTGGATGCTTATCATAAGACATTCTTTTAAAAAAAATGAGATAAATTATTCTAGCATATTTTAGGTGAGTAGACATTCTTTTACCTACGTATGATAATTCTGCTTGTCTACTCGGCAGTTTGTATACACATCTAAGATATATCTGGCATTGGCTAGGTGTTAAATCTGACCTTTAAGTGATTATATACTCAAAGGATCCAGAAAACACCAGATAAAATGATAAATGATCAATTCATAATATTTGAAAAATTACATGATTTCCAAACTTTCTACTGGGCTTAAGCACTCTCGACAATAATCACCATTCAGAGATGTCACACCCAAAATCTTTTTAATTATCCAGAAAAAGTTGAAATGCCACAAATATCAATCTAAAGATGTCTATTATTCAGAGCAGCAAGATTTTTAAGTATCTCTTCTTTCCATCATAAAGTTGCCAATTTAACAGTTGGCAACTTTTGAATGTAATGTTGAGTCTCAATATGTGACTTCCCTCAATCAGAGTGTACCACAGGGCAGCCTGGTTTAAAATCCTTCTGTGGCTCATATTCCTTCCTCTCTAACTCTTATTACATCGTTTGCTACTAATAGTCTTGGTTTCTTAGTCTATTTTTCTCTGAATTATGCTTGTATCTCATTAAGTAGCAGCTGGGAGCCTATGACTAACAAAATGGACTATTATGCCATCAGAACAAAGTTTTGTTTCAAAAATGCTTGTTTTTGATGCCAGAATACGAAAGAAATGTTATAGATATTCAGACCTTATATAGGGTCTTAATATAGCCTGATTGGCTATTTAATTCTGACCTGTTGTCAGTAATGAAGTTCATCACTGTTATAAACTTTAAAACCCACTGTAAATTTAGCTCATTGTTCTTGTAGTCTCTCAATAAATATTTCCTTTATATGGAGCAAGGGCTTAATTCTAAGGCAACAGACACAAATAAACAAAAGCATGCCTGTCACATGAAGAAGATTAAGACAGAATATTAGAAGAAGGAAACAAAAATACACTCCTTAGAGATGTTAAACAGGAGAGATTTATATTTGGTTTCTACTGGGCTTAAGCACTTGTTTATTATAACAGTTTTTTAAGCTCTTCTCATCCTATGTGCAGTTAATTAAACCAAAGGAGTACAGCAGCCAAGCTTTTGCAGTAAAGCAAAGACCTCTTACTTTTTTTTAGGAAATGTCAAAAAGCTGATCAAAGGACAGTGGAAAATGAGAGATCATCATTTCAGTCAAGAAGTAATAAGAAAAATGTTGTCGTGGAAAAAATATCTGTTGCATATAAAAGTTATTTCTTAGATGTGTGGGTTGCAAAGTTTGTCTATCACTGGTTCATGCTTTCTTTTTTTTAATCACATGACTATGCCTTGTCCCCAGCAACTAGATTGAGGGATGGTGAAACAATTATAAATATGAACTTAATTTCATTTCTCCCAAAATGTAATAAAAGAGATATTTCAGTATTTAACTTTAAAATCATCTCAATTTAATAATTTAATTTAATATTAAGCATCTTAATACTATGTTTTAATTTTTTAATGAAAAACCAGTTAAGTCTTTTGATAAGTAACTCTTTCAAAGACATCAATTGATTGTTTCACGTACAGGCTGAGTCACACCATGCAAATGTGCCAGCCACTAACTCCCTGAGCAGGAGGAATTATATTACATTAACTTCTTCCAATAGATTCTATTCTTCTATGCTTTTATCACTAGTTTCCTCAAAATAACTGTATTGTCAAAACTCACATAAAAATTATTACTTGATATTATTTGCTACAAAATGAACAGATCTCTGAGCAAACCAAAAACTGATATAATTTGTTTAGGAAAGAATGACATGTCTTTTCCTGTCACTGCCAGGACAGTCCTTGGAGAGCCTTACAGCCTCTTGGTGTTCTCACAAAGCATAGAGATGCTCAAATAAGTGGCTGGATTATGAGAGCACCAACATTTTTCATAAGGGGTACTATTTCTATATTGCCAACCTGTCACCACATTTTGCCTGTGTGGCAAAAATGATCTTTCCAAATAATCAATTGTTAAATATATTGCTTGGTTTTATAAAAATCTGTTCTGTTGAGCTTATTTTTCCTGCCCTAACGATATCACAAACCAGACTCAAGAGTATTCACAAAGCTAGCTTCCATCTTTTCACTCTCTTTTATTAGATCAAAATTGTAAAAACATAAGAAAAAGAAAAATGAAATCAGGCATCCCAAAGGCTTTCTTGCCTTTTCCTGCCTCGTTAAATAACTCCAAATTATCACATATTTTTCTGTACTTCCCAATCAACCTAAACATATATTCTCTATGAGAAATGACTTTCCGTATTTCTGTATTCCTAGCAGTATCATGACCCTGGTGGCACATGCAATGATGCCAAGTGTTAATAGAGGGGGCAGGACCCAGAACATTGCAAATTTGGCATCTCTAAAAGGTCCAGATGCATATGCAGTATGTGAACATTCTCTACTTGCCCATTAGCATTCTATCATTATAGCTCATGAATGACTAGCAGTGATATTTTCCAAAACTTTATAAAAAAAAACAAAAAATTTTCACAGACACAGCAATTAAATGAAACTGCATTTGCACATAAACCTAATACACTAATTGGCATGTTCATTTAGATCTTCAAATAGCATTTACACCTGTTTCTCAGTGTGTGAGACAAATAATTACCTTTGCCTACAACTCCTTTTAATGAATTTTAGGAGACTCATAAAGTAAATCATTTTCTTTGGAAAGTTCTAGATTATCAAGGCATTGACATTCATTGAATATATCAGAAGTGACTGATTTTTGTTTATCTTCAAAGTAATTGAAATTTCTAGAAAGCCATCTAAACTAGAGAAGAGGAATGCAGAAAAGAAGAACAACATGGAGAAAGAGATATTTTACATCAAGGGAGGACTTCCAATACTATGTCAAAAAGCTTTTGAGAAAATGGATATGAATTTACTGCCTGAATGAGTCTGACCCCATCCATCACCTTCCAATGAATGATAGATCATTCAATACATGATGTTTGCTTTTCCTATGCTCCCATATTTGACACTTAAAAGAGACGAAAAACATAGAAACCCTTCAAAGTCTAACCTTTTACTACAGAAATTGCTTGTGAAATATATGTGAGTGACAGAAAGCAAGCTTTGAAGACTATTTTCTGAAAAATGTGTGGTGTTTTATAAGGAAACTAAATGATGAGGTGTTTCACTCACCTAAGGTAAATTCTAAATCACTGGTACCATCTATACCATACAAGGAATTAAATAGCACAAATTCCTTTTTAAAGATCACTTACAAGAAGCGTCAGTTAAAAAAAATTAACTAAAGGAAATTACTCTTTATTTCATAACATCAGTGAGATGATCACATAAATAATGCAATAATACAAACTCAATGGAATTGTCACAGATTATTTTTCCAGGTATAATGGCAACTTCAAAAATAAACTTAGAATTTGACCTTCACCATTTTCAATACTGCAGTTCAGTTCATATAATAGACATATCCAAAGATACTTTTCTTAGTAGTTGGATTTCCTTCAGATTTCACGCCACATTTTATGCAGGTTTAGCTCTTATTGTTTTTTTTTTTTTTAATCAAGTATCTAAGGACTCCCACAGGTAGTGAAATACAAGAATGTCATAATGAATTCATTACGGCTGATGATCTAACAGATTAAAAGAGGAAGCAGTGTCAAATTATCACTAAAAAAATTAATACTTAAAACCATAGTTTGAATTTCCCTAACAGCAAAGCCTGACAAAAAGACTGGGGTGCAAGCGATTTATTTGGGACATATTCTCAGTAACCAAGATGGTAGGAGCATAAAATAAAAGAAGGAAGCAAGAAAATTGAAGTGTGCCTTATGGAGCTGACTAGCTCCATGAACAATTGGCTCTCAATCCCCCGGGTCCTCTGAGAAAATAGTTCGAAAAATTCCTCAGAATTGTCCCTCTAAAGTGGAGAAGGCTGGACCTTTATCAACCAGATTTCCTCCTCCTTTGGATAAGGGTTACTTCAGGAAGTGTGAAAATTTCCACAAACTTACACAGGTTCAGCAAATCCTCCGAGCTTCACAGCTTGCAGAAAAGTCCTGAGGCAGAAAAACTTGCTATGGTACAAGTGCTTGAAGGGCGCTACTGGGGTACAATGACCAAGTACCCAACTGAGCTTAAGTCAGAGGTGGCCAAGGGATAGAATACAGGACTCAAAGGGCATCTCCTACATCTATAAAATCCATCTATCCCCTTATATGTATATTTAAACAACAGTAAAACATTAGAGTAAAAGATTTATATAAAATATATTATGAGCTTTGATATCAAACCTGTATTTAAAAGCAGTTCCTACCTGATTTAGATGCTCAGCATGAGGAAAATCCATGTCATCCCAAGGGCAGACTGCTTCCATCTTCTTGGGCTATGGGCAGGATTAAACAAATTAAGGTATTAGAAACACCTGAGTGTCCACGGGTGCTAGGTACTATAGACTCTCCCTCCCCCCACAGTGATAACATCACACTTATTTTTATTCACTATTACGGTGGTTATTTGATGCAAAGTTTTCTTTGCTCAGCTTGATCAGTTAATGTGTGAAGATGGAGGTCATCAATGTGCTAAAGAGTGCATTCTACCACAGCTTGCTCATTACCAAATGATCAGGCTTCTAAAATTTCAGAGCAACTACCAGTTACTCAGAAAAGCATTCTTTAACTGCCTACAAAAGGTTGAGCACCTTGAAAGAAACTCTCAATGTGCCTTCTTTGTAACACTTACCGTTCTTTTGGGTTTTTTTTAAACATGTTTTATCATTTTATTAGGAATAATTCTAAAGGGCTATAAAGAAAACTTAGTTATATATAAAGAAAACTTACTGTCAAGCACAGTGCTTGACAAGTATTCAAAAAACTCTTAAAGAAGATATGTTCCCTTAAACAAACATCAGCAGAACTATCATCTACTGGGCAAAGAGTCAGGCTAATACCAAAATTATCATGCAGCAGAAAAAACAGATAAAGGAAGACAACCTGTTGAGTATCAGAAATCATCTCAATGCAACACTTTGCCACCAGCACAAATTAGCTATCAAATCCACCAAGGAAGGGTTAATGGATGAAGCCATGAGTCAAGGATGGGGGGAAAGGAGATAGGAGGGGGAATAGATGAGTTCCTCAGTGCAAGAGATCTGAATATAAGTGTTTCAGAGCAATTTCCTGGTTGATACCTGTTATATATGTATTTATGCTAAACTGTAGCTTCATGACTTAGGGAAATTTCCAGTCTATCTATTGGTTTTTTAAATTGTATTAATATATCTTAACCATCTAAATAATTCACAAAAATTTTCACCCCTCAGCTTTCTCTGAATAAAGAGATCACGTGAAATCTTGACTATTAAAAATACTTAGAATATTATACATGTTGGTGATACAATATTTGTATTTTGGCAACAAAATAAGCTTTTCCCCCAAAATAGTTTTAATTTTTCTTTGATAGTAGAGCACCAAGTTGAAATTAACCTGAGATTATCCATGTTACTCTCCCACAAGCATCTGTCTACCTTACCACAGAGCAACCACCCTTTCCACTACAGTAGACAACATGGGGGAAATGTGGTCAAACACACACCAAAATACAGGCAGTGAAGAGATGCTCAGTGGGGATTCCTAGTCTCAGTTCTAGCAGTGTCACACAGAATTCACCTAAAGCATTCACATTGCAGACATTAGATTTCTCTCTCGTGGATCTTGAAAATGATAACCTGCACTTAGAAAAACTCTTTACTCTGTTAGGTTTCAATCACTCAGTTTCCAATTCATTGGAAATTAATCTCTAATGGGTGAAATAATTGGTATATTCCTCTGTCATGATCCAATCCTCTCAAAAACCACATGTCTGTCTTGCCTTATGTAGGCTCATCAAAAAGGGGAATTGTGGAATCTGGGTGGCTAGACTGCTAACAGTATTTGATTCTCTCTCAATTGTAGTCATTCGATTATATTCACTCATTGCTCATATGGCTTGGATAAATGTCCACTGCATAGAATTACAGTGATATTAAAGGGAACCCTCCTGCTGGGTGTCCAATAAACACTTTGCTGATTAAACTCTGAGACTGTTATTTTACTCTCAGGATTAACATAAAATAAAGTGTTTTGCATATAATGAGTACTTAATAAATATTTGCTGAATTAAATCAAGTGTTTTCTAAATGTGCAGCTTATAGGCCACTCTAAAGTGTAATACATGGTGGCATTATTTGGCATTTGGTTTGGAGCCAGCCCTTCCATAGCCTATAACCTTTATGTAGGCTATAATCACTCTCATTTCTATTTTGGAACTCTGACAATCACAAGGCTGGAGATCACTTTGAAATCAACCAGCTTTTCACACAGCTGCTGTACTGTCCCCTGCAACACTGCAGATATGGAGAACATTCCGTTAGAAAAAGCAGCCTCCACAAAATGATGTATTGGAAATTTACAGTCCCAAACAGGGTTAGAAGAAAGATGTTTCACACTTGCAAAGTATTTTGATCATATCACAGTGCCAGAAAATCCCTACAGTGGTTGCCAAAAAGATCACATTAGCTTCAGACCATTAGAATCCATGGAGGAATTACTCTGGTATAAACAAAAGTAAAGTAGTTTGTCAAAATAATTCACCTTAAGTTGGGTCTTGAAGATCCTGTGAACTAGCAGTTGATGTATCTTCCTACACAGAAAATAAAATATTGACAATGCCAATGAAAAATGTGTCTAGTATAGGTTGAGTATCTGTTCATGTGCTGTGTGCTTTGCAGATGGCTCTTGCTGCCCCATTGCCACAGCACATGGTGTCAACCCAAGAACATTTCCTAACGGACTGGTCTCGGTCCTTGACAGGTTAGATAGAACCGTATTTTATATCAAAATTTGCTGTTTGTGGAGATAGCCCTAAAATATTTCTCAAAGTAAAGGTGACCAAGGGAGAAAAAAAAAATGAAAATTTTTTTGGAGAATATGGGCTTCTGTATCTACTCCTTGGCAAACCACACCATGTCATAGAGGCTGGAAGATATCCTAAAGTAAAGAAATCATTTAACATTATTTCATTTAGTAGTTTCATCTTGTTCTTTTCACTTAGCCTTATCAATATCCGTGGACAAAATTTTCTTCACACTTAAGGAGATGCTTCTCTGGAATGTAATCCTTCGGTAAAGAGGATATGCTGAACATTTCAAATTAATATTCTCTTTCATTGACACAGAAAAGTACTAAAAGATCTTTTAGGATCAAGAGTTCCTTTATTACATGCTTCAGGATTTGCAAACACCTGGCTTAATCGAGTAATCCATTATGGACTCTACTCTGATTGTAATTTCTATAGTTACTTAAAATGCTACATTTTTGCTGAATCAGAAATTCAAAGGTTCTCTGACTTGGGTTTTCTTACTGATTAAAGGATTTGGCTGCTGTTAACTGCATTTCTTTTTTATCTGCATTTCTTTAAAGAAAAGACAACTCTTATTTCTATGTTTCAGATGAAATTTACTATTGGCATTTAGCCAAAATGTACATTTAGCTGTATTTTATAATATCTATGAAAGGCCTCCCATGCTAATACACTATACATTCAGAATACAAAAGGAATCATGACAGGAACCCTGAACTAGGAGAATTCATAATATAAAGATTAAAGAAGAAATCTAAGCAACTAAATAAAATAACATTGGGATCATGATATATTGCTGGTCATTAGAAAATACTACAGTCAAACACTAGTAAGTATTAATTCTGCTTTGAAAAACTTGGGACCAAGTCAAGAAATCGAAAAGACTTCATTCCATAGGTCAAAAATTTGTTCATTTTTGGGCCTCCCTGGTAGCTCAAGGGGATAAGCACCACACTGTAGGGTAGTCCAAGTTCAATCCCTGCCCCGCCAGGGAGCAACCCACATGGCACAGCAGACCTCTCCTGACTGGCCTGCTGCTCCCCTCAACAGTGTACTTTGGTCAATCTGCCTGTTCTGCTCCCCACTAGGTCTCTGGTGAATAATCTTACTCCCCCGAATCTCTGGTCTGAGCCCCAGCTCTTGTACGCATAAATAAATCTTTAAAAAAAACTGTTCATTTTCTGTTCATGAATAGGTATTTACTAAGTACCTACTTTGTGACAGGTACCCTTTCAGGCATTATGAGGACACCATGAACAAAAGAAACAAATATATCTGCCTCCCATCATTTATTTAATTTTTTTTGAAGATTTATTTTTTATTTATTTTACACAAGAACCAGGGTATAGGCCTGATGCGCGGGAGGGTGAGAGCATTCACCAGAGACAAGGTGGGAACAGAACAGGCAGACTGACTGAAATACACTGCTGAGGGGAACAGCGGGCGTGACAGGAGAGGTCTGCAGCGCCATGTGGGACCCTCGCTGGCCGGCAGGGATCGAACTGGTGCTGCAGAGGCTGCGCAAAGCTTCACAGCACTGCGCTCAACCACCGGCGCCACCAGGGGAGGCCCTCACATCGTTTATTTTATAGATATAGATACATATAAATTGTACATGAGAAAATAAATCCATGAATAAGCTGAGCACATATTCATTTAGAAAATAGTAGTTACAAAAAAAAAATTAGACAAGAAAGGTAATCTGTATACTCTGTATTAGCTGACAATGATAAGGTTAATCACGAGGTGGCAAGGAAAAGCACTGAAGTGACTGGATAAAACCTGAAAGGAAGTTTGAAAAGAAGCCCTGGAAACAACTGGACATGGTCCTGTAGGCAGCAGAAATCCTGAGGGCAACAAGTTCCTGGCATGTGTGAGGAAGTAAAGAGGCCAATGTAGCAGCAAAGTGGAAGAAGAAAGTAAAAAAGACTTTACTCCCTAGATCAAAAATTTGACCTACGGGGCCTCCCTTGGTGGTGCTGCGGTTGAGCGCTGGGCTGCGAGGCTACCCACAGCCTCTGCAGGGTCAGTTCGTTCCCCAGCCACAGGTGAGGGTCCCACAAAAAAAAAAAAAAAAGAAATTTGACCTAGGGAGGAAGTCACATAGGTCACAGTAGGCTTTTACTTAAGCAAGAAGACAAACTATGGAAAGTTGTTGAGTAGACAAGTACCATAATTTGACTTACATTTAACTGAATGTTAAACACAGCACTCTGGTTGCCATACTGAGAATAGATTAAAGAAGAGGAAGGGCAAAAAAAAGATATGAGTTAGCAGGATGTTAAAATAATACAAACACAACCTAATCACATAATATACATAGAGAACCCCAAAAACTTCACAGAAAAACTAATTCAACTCATCAATCAGTTCAGTAAAGTGGCAGGATACAAAATCAACACACAAAAGTCAGTAGCTTTCCTATACACAAACAATAAATCTGAAGAAGAAATAAAAAAAAAACATCCTTTTATTATCGAAACAAAA